CCCGATCGTACTCACTCTTACCACCAAACGACATGCCGCCAAGTGAGGAGAAAAAGGAAAAGGTTTGAGAAAACTAATGCATCATCATCCTAACTTCGAATAATTTCGTGGCGCGTGACGAAAATTTCCACAATAATCACTCTCCCCGAATCGACTCAACTCAACCCATGAATATTGGTATTTGAGAATAGGCAGATACGTGGCAGTCATTACAGGGCCGCGAGGTATAACGTAATGCAAATAGTAGCAACGAGTAAATAATGCAAATACTATCATCATCACCAAACACCACTCATTGACGGTATCCATTATCAACGCCCATCGTATGCGTGCACCATCATCACTACTATAGGCAGTAACCTCGAGCATGTTGTTATTATTTACAAGTCATCGTCATCATCATCGATAGCTTGGTCCTGGGCAGCCTGTAATTCCTTCTCATGCTGGGCCACGAGCTCAGGGTTAATCTGGAACTCCGGAGCCTTGGCGAATTCACCCTAAAAACAACAACAACCAAAAGTCCTTCCTCATTCATCACTACGTCCATGCTAATTACCTGGAAAACGAGCTGAGGTTGGTTAGTGAGGCGGCGAGCGAGCCAGAGGAAAGGCTTCTCGAAATTGTAGTTAGATCTCGCTGATAGGTCATAATACTGCAGATTGCGTTTGCGATGGAACTGAATATTACGAGCCTTGACCTGAGGATTGGTAAGACAATCGCATTTGTAAAAAGGACAAGTGATAAAACTCACCTGACGATCCTTAACATCAACCTTGTTACCAACTAGCACAATTGGGATATTCTCGCACACTCGCACGATATCGCGATGCCAGTTGGGAACGTTTTTGTATGTGATGCGAGACGTCACATCAAACATGATGATAGCGCACTGGCCCTGAGAGAGATAAAGCAAGTCCCATAAAGTTTAATATAGTCGTGAGGTTTTACCTGGATGTAGTAGCCATCACGAAGACCACCGAACTTCTCCTGACCAGCCGTATCCCAAACGTTGAAGATAATCTCACCACAGTTGGTCATGAACTTCAAGGGATGAACCTTAGCACGCATACACATAAAATGTTCCCCATCTGGACCTCAAGATACCATTACCTCAACACCCAGTGTAGGGATATACTTCTTCTCGAATTCACCAGTCAAATGCCTCTTCACAAGAGTAGTCTTTCCAACACCGCCATCACCAACCAGGAGTAGCTTGAACTCAGGAGTGCCAGACATCAGTGGTATATAACTTACAATCTTCAAGACAAGTGTTCATAATCGTTACTATGGGCGACGAAGCACGAGGAGTCAAGAACCACACGTAACCGTTAACGTTTATGGGCGAAACAGTCCGACGTATAGCCAATTGGGCGCGCGCTATTCCCATTGTGACAGATATACCGACGATTATACGCCATAGCCCAACTCGACAACTCGAATGTGACACACTTGAATATTAACCACAGCGTAAGTCACTATCACTAATGAGGAGTGTTGATGAGTTTACTCAATATCCATTGCCGTCCATCACCATCCAAGGCATGTGATATGTTCTAGACACCCTGTCCTCAGCTACCTCTACCTTCACCGTCCTACCAATGGCACTATCATTGCTAGGACGAAAAAGGTACAGGTACATTCACAACTGCAAGATCGGTCTCCTACCCAACGCAACTGTCTCGAAAAAGGAAGTAATGTTATCGGTAGGTGTCTGCAAAGGACTATATAGTGTAACATTGCGCAGCGCCTCAGTCGTTTCCACAGTAGATAGAAGCAGGAGATCTGCAGCAAAGGCAACTTCGATGCCCGAATAAAGAGCAGATAGCAGTGAAATCAGCGGGCCTTGATCATATCAAGTAGCCAAGAATGGGCATCGGATGCAAACCCCAGGGCACCTAAAACATCACCAGGAGTTTAAGCGATTAGTAGAATAATGACATGAATCGGCCACCCTTAGCATGTTGGGGAAAATGCCAAGTAATAGAGACCCTCACCTTACACTCAGGAATGCCGCTAGGCTTACAATCTTACGCCTCAGACGTATGTGTTAAAGACTTCTAACAATCCAAAGCGCGTATAATTTTACACTGTACAGTAATAACAGGTTATTCAATCAGGCGTACAGTTAAGAACTCCTGGAGGTATCCCTGCTTACACTGGGTATATCCTAATCGCAATATGAGGTCGCAATGAAACGCTATTAGTAAGACTATGCCCAGACGCTTGGCAATAGCACGATACTGAACAGGGAACAGCCACGCCTAGTACAGAGACTCTTAATGGTGAACTTTACCAGAGATTTTTCGACTTTCTCCGAGGCTGTTTTGGCCTCGTCTTCCGACTGTGATGAGGATCCTGTGAGATTCAACTTGTTCATTGTGAACCATGTGATGCCCGCAGCTCCCAGGGCGGCCACAAACAGACAGAACGCGCGGAATGGACACATTTATACAACAACAAAATACACCTACCAGGGATCGAACCCGCGACCTCTGCAATCCAACGACATCACTACCACTACAAAAACTGTCACTAATAAAACAAACCAGTCTAAGCCAATGCTCAAATGCAGGCGCTGCTGTCACCAACTCCACTGTATTGATTGAACTCCCCATGGATCACACTAGCCACCAAACGCCCATGCCTGACCGCCCATTCAGTAGCTTCCGGAGGGTCCTCGCTAGGCAACGGCTGGGGACAAAGGACATACCTTTGCAACGATGCTAGTATCTAACACGTAGTCATCGCGTAAAAGCTCTCAGAATGCACCGAGCGGCTATTGCCCTATACTACGATACCGTGGTACAACAGGCAATATAGCCAGGGACAATCCGAGAGCATTCAAACGGACTCCAAACCGAACTAGAAATACCCCTGAGTGATTCGATTCCACAAGGGACCCCTTGAGTGGACCTCATCCGAACCAACAACACGTATGCAAAGGTCAATATCACTCGGTTAGTGCACTGACTATTCGAAATCCTGATGCTATGCAGCCAAACGTTGAAAGAAGCAGACCAATGGG